TGCAAGACGAATGGGCAGCCTCACATCTTATTGACCTCTTATTGACACCCTCATTCTCAGGATGGGCAGACGCTGTGAAACCTGCCTAGCAGTTTGGGGAGATCATATCCCCTATTAAAGACCGGATGTTTCTTGCTGGACACAGGGATCACAGGATCACACAGGGATGTTTCGGCCTTCAGTCGCATTGCGCTCCATGCTACTTTTTTAATAAAGTTTCTTTTTATCCCCCTGATTTCTCTTTTAGTAAGTGTTGCTTACATTACTGATGTCCTTACGTATTGGGGATCTTACGGAATTAAATGTGTTGATTTGGAAAGCTTTCGTACAAAGTTATATTGAATAAACCGTCTCGCCCTTAATTTTTGCACACCAGTGTAAGTCGTAATTTAAGAAAAGAAAATTAGAAAAAAGCAGGAAATGTTAGAACAGTAATATGTACTGCATAATAAACTTTAAGCTAGGCAAAGTAATCATGCTCCAAGAAGTTATTTAATATTAACAAGCTTTCTTATGCGCTTACCGTTCGATGCAATATGCAAATGATTAAATTTTGGTTGCCGATGAATGGCAAGATTGAATTAAAGAGCATTTGGATGATGTTAATATTTTTCCGTTGTGTATCTTTCCGTTGTGTATCTTCCGTTGTGTTGCCTTTTCTTTCGAGGTGACCCATGCTTACCATTTCAACAGTATGAAAACAGGCTTTCAAGCGGCTATGTTGCTCATCAACTTCGCGGAATCTGAAGAATAGGAATGAATTAGCACTCTCCATGTGATGGACCAATAGCGACGCAGGAAATTACATCTTTCCCTTCTACGTCTTAACATTATGTGAGAATTCTTTCTCAGAATTCTCTGCCAACACATCTCAATGTTATGGTAAAAACGTCAAGCCACTCCTCCATGAGTTACACACAGGATCAGGCTTTTAGCGCCTTTTTTCCATGTGCTTCGCACCTAAGCCTTCAACTGTATACAATTCTCAATCCCGGGCGAGTCTATTGATTATATTCTTCTTTGGTAAACAGTTCTCTATCCAGCCAGTTTACCAGGTCTGTCCTCAGTAGAGTAAGCTTGAGGTCCGATGAGTAAGCCTCCATGCAACTCTACTGTTCGAGGAAGTTTGACAACAAACACAGCAGGACATCATCCTCCAACTTTACGAGTCAATTCCAAGCACGATAACTGCTTCCATAAGGATCAGAGGTGGGCAAACGAAGTGTTCGCTATATGTAACCCTATATCCTGTATAAAACATTCAATTCCTTTGAAAGTTTAATGATTTTTCTTTCCATATATACCGAACTTCTTGCTATTGAGATAATCTTTCTTAGAAGAATTTTGTTTTTCTTAGAATGTTTTACGCATGGCAACATTAGTAAATACAAAGAAAAAAGTGGAAGATCTGGATAGATGTATAAACGAAGAAAAAGTGGGAAAGAAAAGAATAAAATGAAAGACGAACAAAAGAAAAAAATTAATTCTTATACCTAGCGACAGCAATAACAAGAACAGCATCTGTCAGTAAAAAAAAAAAGGAAGTACACTATGTTAGAATGTTTAGTTTACTTGAAATAATTACACATTTTCTTCTTCGTCTACTAGCCGTTGGAGCGCTTTGAAATATAAATAAAGAAGAGGTAACACTTCACATTTAAGAGGCAATGTGAACCTTAAATGTGAAGTGTTACCTCTTTTTAACGTTCTGGTTATATTTAAATTTCATTATTATTTCAGTATTATTCACATGCAATATAAGCAATCCGAAATCAATGCAATGAAATACGAAGTGCTTTATTTCAAAACTCTTAAGATGAATCGCAAATCCTTTCATTCGAGCAAAAGCAAAACATGATGGGGAGGAAAAAAAAAAAAAAATCCAAAGGGGCGTTTTTTTAACGTTTTATGTGTTACATTTATTTATTAAATATCATGTTCTCCGCACGAAAACCATAAAATTCAGTTTAACAGCAATATTATAAAATACTAATTTAAAAAGAGCATGTCTTTAGAATTTCCTCGCTCGCTCGAGATAAAAATGTTTTTTCGCTACAGACTTGCCATTCTCGCTTTGAAATCGTCGAATTTGTTAATCGAAAATTCCTTAAAGTTTTACAAAATATGAAATAGGTAATAAAACAAATTCCAAATTCCATATTTGGGCTTTCAGATGCCCATATTCGAGTGTATGACTACGTTATTCACAATTGGATGTCTCTAGGTACCTTTGATTTTTTACAATGCGAGAAATGTACATACATTCATCCAGATTCTTCATTATTTATTTTTTTAATATAATGCATGGCACTAATATTTGGTAGCAAAAATTTGAAAGGTGAAACACCGTTTTATAATGGACGACGAAAAAGGCTGAAACGAAATTTATAGCCCTTCCGAGCAAATTACCCCCTTTCGGCTAAAAGTTCCAATTTATTCTAATGATTTTGATTTCTGAATAAAATGCTGACAAATATGAAAGCCTCCGACAAATACATATAAGATCCCAGTCGTAATTTATGATCTGTATCAATATCGTGCAACGTTTATTGCAATACATACGTGGTTTTATTTAAAATGAGGTATTGGCAATATCTGACATCAGGTTTTACGTTATAATTTCGAAAAACACCTAGGAAAAGACAGCTTTTAGATGAAAATCAAACAGATCAATTTAACTGCTGAAGCAGAACTTAATATAGTCTATGTTATTCATGATATATATATAGAAAAGAAACAGAATTTTAAGCAATTTTTCAGCATCGGAAGCTTTAATGAACGTGTGGGATTTTAGAAATAAAATAAAAATGTTTACTTCAGTGGTAGGGGTAGAAACGATGAGCCGATATAATTTATTTTACCAGCAAGACACCAAAATTTATCAACAGCTGGGAACATGCACTAATTCATAAAAAATGAAAGCATTACCATTCTTATAAGATCGAATTATTATTACTTTAACTATGCCTCTGAATAATGCAAGAGGAATGAGATATTTCTCTGCTTTAAACTGAGATAAAATTATGCAAGAAATTCAAAAAGCCACAGGTCATTAGCAATGATTAGCTATAGAAAAAAATATTCTTGTGGGACAGATTGCGAAGATATTGTAAGCTAGTTTCCTTAAATGGAAATCTGGAAAAGAAATGTTTAAAATTTTAATAAGTATAATTCTGTGTACTTTCTGTTACACCAGAAAATGTTTAGTTACATAATTATTATTATATTGTACTATTTATTATTAATTAAAGTTTTAAATTTCATTATTTAAAAATTTAATTAATAGAAATTTATGTTGTAAATCATTGGGCTCAAGTTTAAAGTTTTCTTAAGGCCAATAGACGTTTAATCGAGCATTGATTTGATAGGAACGAATTCTACTAGGCTGCCCAGACGGTATCGTGTTTAGGGGAGGCCTGACTGCTATACTGAAGGGCCCGGGTTGCACATTTCGTAAGTGCAAAGTGCACATCTGTATCGCCACGGAGGGAGGGGCTTCTAGAATGACCAGTGGGCTTCTAGTAATACTTCTATAATTTCACATGAACTTTGCCGGGCTTTAAACAAGATGGTTGAAAATGTTTTGCCACGCAATTTCCTGTACAAAATTATTAAAGCATAGTGGATTTCTTGTGAAAATTTTCAGTGCGATGTTAGATCAAATATAATTCTAATTATATATGTAAATAACAGGAGTTTTAGCATTTTTTATTGCAGTCTGTATGAAAAAGATGTTCTATAATAGTAACCAATGCACAGTTTTATTAAAAATGAACTTTTCTAATTTGCATTTAGAGTGCTAAATTTCACATTAATAAGTATTCACTGCTAAATGTATTCTCTGCGCAAGAAATACTCTTCAAACAGAATGAATTTATCTTATTCACAGCGGATATATTTAATTTATACATATATAACTTTTAATGATAACAACAGGTGTTATCAGGTCATTCGCAATATGTATGAACTTCACACTTTCAAATGTTATATAAGTGATATGTTACACTTTCAAAATCAAAGGACTGCAAGCATATGCATTCAATTATTCTTAGCTCAGTTAAAAAAAATATACGCTTGAATTCACTTAATCTAAGTAAATGCATAATATTCGAGGTTTATTCGGACTCGGTTTCTCGATATAAACAGCAAACATTAATCCAAATATTAGTGAGTAATAAGTTTCGTTAAAGTGAAAAGTTGACGATTAAGTAAATTTATAAAAGAAAGCATTACAAGATTTTCTACTAAAATGATAGCAGCATTTAGATGCCCTATATTTTGAACTGCAAAATAAATGCAAAAAGAGCATAAGGAATACAACATGCTTATATATGAAGGCCACACTGATATGCACAATTTCAAAAATTCTGTGCCACATGAGTGATAGAATCTCATTAGTCCATGTTTGAGGCCCCTCCCTCAGTGGCGATACTGATGTGCACTTGTGAATCCTGCACCCGGGTTCGAGTCCTAGAGAAAGCATGGATGAAAATTGCCTGTCCCTTCATAGGAAGCAACGGTGGCCGCCTATTAGCTGCCTCCACAATAAAATGGTCACCACTTCTGGCCTTAGGAGTGGCCAACGCCGTTATAGGCAAGTGCCCGCCATTGCGAAAAAAATTCTGTTGAAGTGCGGATAAGTACTGCGTCACCTCTGTATGAAAGTGCGAACTTCGCTTTAGCTGACTTAATTTCATGTAGCAAGAAATTTGATTGTGTTAAACCGGAATCGTTAGGGACGAGTCGAATGTATGTTATCTCTTACCTTTGTAATTAATGATTTTTTCTTTAAATTTAAAAGTAACCCAATAAGAGTTGAAAAATAAGCTGTGCTATCACAACAGTGTTGACTCTTAAAGAAAGAAAGAGTGAAAAAGAATGAAATGAGTAAATCTGACACTTCATAAAATAATTTTATGTTTGACATTTTCTTTTCTTTTCAGGAAACTAACATTTTCGTTATTTTCTTCACTATATCTTTCATATTTTTATATTTTTAGTTGCGACTGTAAAAATGGCACAGCATGTACACTGAAGGAACATCAACGGAAGAGTCAGGACAACGTAAACGTGTATTACTATAGTTGCCAACCTCTAGAGAGATACTGTAACCTTAAAGGGTGAACTATCGGAGGAGAAATAATTTACTAAACAGCGTTACAAACTTTTCAGAAGCAGAGACTCCATCCTGTTCTTTATTAGTGTTAATGAATAATGATGTTCATAATGTTCTTTATGAATGTTAGTACTGTTGTTTATGAATAATAAAAAAAAAAAAAAACTAATGAAAACTGAACCTTGTAGGGTTCCTCACTTTATGGAAGGTTATTTTAATTTTATTAACACTTTTGATTTTGAGTTAAACTTCTGTCCTATCAAATCTTTAACTTCAACTAACTACTTCCGGCCAGAACGTAGTTTTAGGATCACGTCTGAATACTTAATGGGAAGGAGCGGTATTTAAACCGCGAAGTTCTTCGGTCTTGGAGAGAGAGAGATCTGATTTTCAGATAGCACGCGTCCGCCTTTTCAGGCTACTCTCTCTCTAAGACCGAAGAACTTCGCGGTTTAAATACCGCTCCTTCCCATTAAGTATTCAGACGTGATCCTAAAACTACGTTCTGGCCGGAAGTAGTAAGTTGAAGTTAAAGATTTGATAGGACAAAAGTTTAACTCAAAATTAACACTGTTCATAAAATTAAAATAACCTAACAACCTCTAAAAAGTTATTCACACTTCTTAATGTTTAATTAAATCTATTTTCAATTACCGGAAATCTTGTGCACATAACTTTTATGATTGAATTTTAATAAATTATCTTGTTCAACTAGGCTGTGTTTCTTAAGTAATTTCTACAGCTTAAAGTCTTTAAAAACAAAAAATGTGAATTCCGCTTTTCACATGTAATTTTTGTTTTTAATCTGCATATTAAAACTCTTTATTGAACAAAATTTCTTTTAAACGGTTAATTTCTTCTAACTAAAACCACACCTAGTTCCTTAGTGCACACAAACACAGTTATCAACTTTTCTTCTTTATATATATAATATTTTAAAGCGTAGTCGTGATGACTGAGTGGAAAAGGCAGAAATAAGATGTTGTCAAAACTAAGTTTGGCGAATCACCATCTTTATTTGTAGGCACATCAGAATCATTTCTTTATAGGCAATAGAAGATTTCAGCAGCGTCTTGCCAGGATGAAAGCTTAAGTGAAAAGTGTCGCAGCAACCCAGAGGAAAAAAGAAGCGAGTCAAAAGTTTCATTTCGAGTTAAAAAAGTTTTGGTTTACAATTTAGTGATTGGGCGAGAGGTAGCTGCATTAAGAGTTGCGTAAGATTGCATGATTAATTTGAATTACGCAGCTTATACTTATAGCGCTATTCTTAAGATAGATAGAGGAAGTTCCCAGATTAAATAAAAAATAAAAGAGATTATAGCCAACTAAAATTAGAAGCTTGCTTTTTTTTTTTATTTTATTTTATTTTTTTTTTATTATATTATTTTTTTTTTTATGTTATACATCCAACCCCTTCTTTAAAGAGAAAAAAGGCGGAGAGATAGAGAAGACTGTTTGAGAGAAAAAGCATTAGAGCAGCAAACTACGAGAGGTACCATTTTAAAAATACAAAACGTAAAATTAACTTTTGAAAAATTAAAAAATGATATTCGTGAAATTTTGAATTCAATAATAATTTAAGCACTAATACACATTTTAGAATCCTATTAAGATTTGAGTCCAATCTGTAAAAAGTTCTTGTTTCTGGAAAATTTACATCACAATTTTGATACTTCAGGGAATACCCATTAATTATTAGGAATGATCATAAATCTTAAAAATTTTACACCATACAACTTTTCACATTTATAAATAATATTTTATCATTTGTAATAGTATTATAGAAATTATGGTTTATAATTTTATTATTACATTTGACAATTTTCTTATTTTACATAAACTTTAAGACCCCACAGTTTTCTCCTAGTACACACATATCCAGCTATTTAGGCATATCCCTTTAACGAACTCACGCATTAAATTTTCATGAGTGATTAAGGGTTGCTTTGGCAGTTGCTTATAAAGGTCTCCGCTCCTTCTTTAAAAGCAACTGGCCTTTTTGAACTGCATTATACATTCCATTATATTAAAAAAAAAAATCACACTCCATTATATGAAAAAATAAAAATCATATATAAAAAAATTAAATAAAGTGGGAGCCTTCAAAATTTATATTATGTGAGGAGGGTAAAAGGAACAATTATGCAGAGGTAAAACGAGCCTCTGTTTCTAAACCAGTACTCCCTCAACATACTTTATATTTAACATACAATTATTGATAATTATAACATTCATTTACCTTAATTCCAAACAAATTTTAATACAGTTTACTCCTAATAGAGGTTCGAATCCCGCGAACGGGTTGACTGCATGGGTGTTTTCGTGGTTTTCCCCATGTGTAACGTGTACACGAGCCAGTTTCCCTTAGAAAGTCCTCCACGAAGGCATCCCTCCCCTTAGGCAGATAACCGTAGTGTGCTTTGCCATAATTAAATACACCACACCACCTAATGAAATTCTCATATAATTTTTTTTTTTTACGATTATTCAATTTCTTAAATCTTTGGTGTCTCTACACTAATTTTAACAATATTCTCCCATTTAATTAATATTTCATTTATATTTCATATATGCATACTTCTCAAAATAATTAGAAAATTCGTGGAATTCAAATTTTGAAACAATGATCTTATTTACAAAAAAATCCCAAAATTCTTATCTTGTTAACAAAATAATTCCAAAATTCTTAACATTAATTCAAAATTTTCAAGAAAACCTACACTTACTAATAACAATAAAACTGAATAATCTTCCCTGAAAGAGATTCACCCTGATTCTGTGCGATTTGAAGAGAAACTGTCAATTTCTTTAGAACCGGAATCCTCATCGAGAGAAAATTAGAGACTGAAGAGTTTCTTTATGAAGTTCTGTCCACAGAACAGATTGTTCAACAAATAGTTGATTGCGCATATGCGAAATAAATACTGTAGTACAGATTTCTCCTAATGTTACACGAATTCTTTTCAAGTGTAACGTTTCCCTTCTCTAAAGAACACTTGGTCACCCACCCTAAAAGAAGGAACAGAGAACCCTCACAAGCGCATGGCCCCAGGCACCACCCCAAGCTCTTATTGGACACGGCTTCTGATGTCATGCAGTGACGAAAAGAATTCTCCGCGGTATTATTGTGCTCCAAAAGCTTGAGTCCAAGGTCATTTTAGCGCTGAAACAGGCGAAGTGCTGGCCGACGATAGAATAATTTGCCATATTTGGGAAAAAATTACAAAAATAAAAAGCAGCTTCAGAAATATATTGTTAATATACATAGTATTAGAAAAAACGTGCAAATCGATGTGCAGGCGATAACCGTTTAGCAGTATTTTTGTCATTAGATGAATATCGTTTGACAATAAACATTTTTACTTCCTTGTACGAAGTAAAAAGGAAGTATTGTAATCGCGAAAAGCTTCGGGCAGCATATTTCAACGAAAATATCCACTTTGACCGCTTTCGAATGGAATTTAACGATGTTTTTGCGTGATATCTGTACGTAAGGACAGAATAAAAGACTGTTTTCCTCCAAAAAAAAAAAAAAAAAAAAAAAACTAAAAAACTGCTTTAAAATGAATTCTGAAAAGAATTTTTCTTGGCGTCTGTACGAACGTATGTACGTACGTGCGTACGAAAGTACGTACGTATCTCGCATAACTCAAAAACGAGTAACCTCAGAACGTTGAAATTCTGTATATAAGACTACTATAACATGTAGATGTGCACCTCGTATTTTGGTTTCTATCGACCGCGCCAAACGTATATAAATATTTTATAAAATATATCCACTCTGTTACCCGGCTCAGTGATCTCAGTTTCTTTACTCTTATATGTTTGTAAATTGTACATTTTTTGCTTTAAAAATGATTGAATTATGTTGTTTTTATCTTCCGGTTAAGGGTTTTATGCCTTTAGTAAATCTGTATATATATTTTTAGAATTATCAACAATTTTAAAATTGTTTAAGTGCCGCTAAGCCTAATTTGATGGCGGCCATTGATGTTTACATTTGAAACAGGAGACTAGTGGATTTGTTGCCAATCTAGAGAAACTTAGCTTCGCAACAACAAAGATAACGCATTCATTTATTATTGCCAATTAAATCATGCTTAAACCTTTCTTGAATTTTTTCGAGGAAATAAGCGTTTTAAGATTACTTCGTAATTTTTTATAGAGATATTTTGAGTTTTTATGTATTTTTGCCCTGTCGCGAAGTGAGAACTGAATTAATTGAATGAGAAACACTCAATCGTCTGTGAAAATATTTTTTGTTTTTGTTTTTTGTTTTGTTTGCTTAATTTCTTTTATACATCGTTCTAGCTTTATTATGGTATTTGAATAGAACATGTGGCAACGATTAGATAATTCTTTAAATGATATAAATTTTGTGCATTCAGAGTTATAATAAGCAAGCTAAGTATAGCCGAGCGGCAGAAATTCTCAAGTTGCAGATCCCCACATCGTGGGGCCACGTTTACTTCTCTTCTAGAGACTCTGCACTAGGTGCAAAAAGTACGTTCCATCTTACTGGATTCAACTCATCATTAAAGACACCCTACTTATAATATATTGGTAAAGGCCGCACTAGGCCGATTGCCTCTTAATTGTGTTATGACATAGACATAGACATACACATAGTTATAATATGAACGAAATATAATACTGTTAAGTAAACCTAGCGCTATGGTAAATATAATACTGTTAAGTAAACCTGTCGCTATGGTAAACAAAGTGAATTTTAAAGAATGCATTTATTCTCTGGTGGTTTATGCGCTGTCGGCGAAGTAGGTTTAATTCAATCTAATAAGCTTAAATAAAATGCAAGAAAAAAGCGTTTAATTTAATATTTCGTACAAGGAAGTCATGTGGTGTACACATCAGATTCTTTATAAGATAAAAAGTGATCACTTTTTATAAGTATAAAACACTTTTACAATAACACTTTTTATAAGATATAAAAGTTAAGAAGCAAAACAATAATGCATAAAAAAAGCAGGATAACTCCAATTGACAAAGTCAAATAAACGATATTATTAGTGCTTTAAAAATATCTTATCACTTTATCTTATTTTTTTAACCATAAATGAAGAGAAATTAATGCCTAGAATTAGAAAGAAAAAAATTAATCTGACTACGAGCTATTTTAATACCAAACAATCTCTATATAATAAACAATAAATGAAAGGAAGGTTATTTAGTTAACAAACAATTAATTTTTATAAAGGAATAACTAGCTTTTACATTTATATCACTTTTAAAAACACGTGCCGACATATTTTCTTATATTGTTAGGTTCGTTTTAATTTCA